TGTCTGACACACAGAGCTGCAAGAGAATGTATGAGCTATCTTACCACAGGAAGTCAAATTTACTTTAAAAACAAAAATTTAAAAGTTGAAACATTAAAACTGTGTCCTTAACATATCTATGACACTTAGTAAAATACTTTAATTACCTAATTTCCTCTCTACTAATACCTCAAGGAAGTCTAAGTATGTGAACTTTAAAGTATTTAGACTAAGGCAGAAAAATATTTTTACTAGATGCTATTAAAGTCATCAATTTGTCAAGTTTCTTCGAGGCTCTTTACACTCTTTTGTGTTAGCACTGAAGTATTTTAATACTAAGAAAATGTTTAAGAATCTTGTTATAATAATCTAAGAAAAAATTACTCATTTTGCCCCAATCACTTCATATATCCACCACACCCACCATAGACATGCTTTGCAGATAACTTTCTATGGTGATCATCTTGGTCTAGCATCAAAATCCTACAAAGCACTCTTTAATTCATGTTTTTTTTTTATTTTTTTTATTTGTGTGTATGTGAATAAGAGCTCACCTAAGGTTTAAGGGTATTGTGAGTGGAAACTAAAAATGAAAGGAACAGAGCTCCAGCTTAACATCTTCAAGCAAAAATACTTGAATTCTGTACATACTATACATGATCTTAGCTAAAAGGCTCAGAGTAATAATACCCTAATTCCTAAGAGCCACGTATTCACATCACACAGACATCCCTGTGCCATTGTGAGAGCTGGTTGTGGGAAATCCAGGTCAAATAAGACAACCACATAAATGTCCATGCAGATTCACATTTCACTGACTCCCTCTCTAAAAACTAAAGCCCTTTTCCCTTTTCTTTTTAGGTTTCCAGTAACTTCGACTTTGCCACTTCCGTTACTTTGAAAACCCTGGGCACAGATGCAAGGTAAGAGGCCCAGGGGTGAGTGTAAATTGATATTGCTTTAGCTGTGAGGGTAGGAACAACAAAATCACAACCAGGAGTGACAGTTTACGAAAACATGAAAATAATCTGCTTCCAGGCGTGGAAATTGAGTAAGAGGTATTCAATGAACATGAAAGAAATGCCTGCCCCTTGTAAGGTTTGAAAATGGATAGTATAACTCTTTCTCTATCCAGTACCAAAACACTTACAGGCAACTTGAAAAAATCCAAACCATATTAGAGACATTAATTGTGTGCCTTTGTGGAAACCCAACTATAACAATTGATTATTTTTTCCCCAAGATATCTGGAATTTGTGATAGAATAACAAAACCAAAGAGGACATTTCAGATCAGTTCGCAAAGGAAACTTGAGGCTATTGAAGGCATTCATAAAGAACTTCAAGACAGTTATTTTTTTAGTTTCAATAGAATATTAATTTTATATATTTTGTATCCTCTTTCCTCAGGGGAAAACCAATGCTTTCATTTTATTAGATAGGAATAGACTATGAATTTAGATTTTCTCTTTTAGATCGTAATTTTCTTTATTTCCTTTCACTATGGTTTTGATTCTTAAAAAGTTATTCTTCTTTGTGCTATGGGTACTGTAATAACCAGTGCTACACATTTATTTATTATCAAGAGAATGCCACTTGGCTTTTCTGAAATGAAAAACAACTTGCTGCAAACTACCGTGGTGCTTCTTTTAGTTGGAAACAAGCTTATATACATATTTTATAGCATATGTCAACCTAGAATTTTAACATGAAAATTGTCTCTTGGGAGTTCTTTAGATTTTTGCTATAGGGCACATGTGCTTGCCAGAGAGAGACAGAGAGAGGGAAAGTAAGAAATCACCCCCTGGGGAGAGAGCCATATCACAACCCTTCTCCATTCTCCTCTTGCAATTTTGGGCACACGTGGAAATGTGCCTGGCATGTTTTTCAAGCCGCCAGGTCCAGAACTCAAAACAGGGAGTCGGCCATGTAGGATCCAGCGTCTTAACCACCATACCACCTGCTGGCTCCAAAAACTGTTTTTTTTTTTCTTTTTTTTTGTTACAGTAAGCTTAAAATATCGCACAGGTGTTATGATCACATTGATTAGCAAGGGAATAATGGAAATTTATTTAATCATGACCTGATACATTTCAAAAAGTTGTGTTTTCAATGAGAAATAACTCATGGGCACTGAAGAACTCTTGAATACCAATGGGGACTTGGGTGCTATTATTAGATTAAAAATGCATTAAAATACTAGATAGTTTTTAGGTAGACTTACGGGGAAAGGAAAGGGCAAATATAACAACATTTTCATGAAAGGAAGTAAATGTTGGGTTACAAGCCCAGGTGAGGAAAATAGAATATAAAAGATAGAAAGATAAGCTGTTGCGGAGGAAGACTATTTTCTTCACATTTAGATGATTCAACTAACGTAGAAAATTCCATTTTGAAAGACAGTCCAAATGGTCACCACTGCTAAGATGACGGAGTTAAGAAACAGACAAGCTCATGCAATCTCAAATGCTGAAAAACAACTGGATCTAGAAAGCCAAATAAGTTTGAAGATACTTTAAAATATCTTATGTACAGAATGAAATTAGATGTGGGGTTATTTTCTGTAGTCATTTGGTATAAGCAGCATCCACAGTGGAGCCTAATCAGAATGATAAAGTATTCAGCCTAAAAGTTTAATTTAAACATAAAAGTGAAAAAAAAAAAAAGGTACCAAAGGCCTTTAGTCACAATTGCAATCTCCCTGGACTACTAGTACAGGAGACAGGGCAAAAAGGTCCTGAACAACAACCACTAATTACACTGTACAATTCTTACATCACCACCTTCCGAAGGTACAGTTATTCATGGGTATTATTTCTTATTCATGGAGAAAACTGCTATACCCATGAATACAGAGAGGTATTTGCACACCATAAACCCTAGCTTCTTTTTTCCATACAACCTCCATATTTTTTAAGTAGGCATTATGAACATGCACACACACATCCACATACACACACAAAGGAGTCTTGAAAGTGTTCATGGAAAATGCATCTTGAAAAAAAACAATGTGGACTTCCATCTTCATTTTTTCTTGCATCACGGTAAACCAGTACTTTGATTCCATTGTTTTCCACACACTTTTGTAAGTCCGTTTGTGCATGCTAGAGCTTTCTCTGGGACCGTGTTAAAGAAGAACATGCATTATCACTCATTTCCTTTGAGGATGGATGTTCTGACCCCAAAGTAGTTAGAATTATAACTTGCATTCAACTCCCAGTTTTTCCCTGGTGAATCATAGACACAGTGTCTTCAAATTTGCCAAACATGACTATAATAGAGGTTCACATAGATGAACATCATTTGACAGAAATGTAATAAGAATATTGATCTTCATGGAAAAAGACAATCAACTTGTGAAAAATATCTGCTATAAAATTCATTTCAATAGACTATTTGATCTGTCTAAAATAATCCTTTAACACAACTTTAATATTTTATAAGATTGAATACTGTGTTATTATCAAATGCTCACTTTTGAAAATTCTATAGTATCAATAAGGTTAATTGAGCAGTAAACAAGGTTGAAATATTTTAAACTTAAATCACTATTCATGAATGTGAAAAATTTTGTTTTAATCAAAATGTACTATTTTGGCTTTTATATTTATTTAATTTTGTTCTATAAGGAGTGCATTTCTCATGACAATAAAGCATGATAGTAAAATTTTCACTTAATGGAGCCATGACTACTTTTTTTTCCAGTTAAGACCTTTTTTAAGTGAGTTAAATTCATGGCAGAATTTAATACAGTTCACCAGGCCTTATTATTCTGAGTAATGTAATTAAAGATCAAATGAAATAAAAACTCAGCAGTGTCTGTCAATCATAAGAATCCTGTGTTTTCAGAGATCAAGAATCAAATGAAAAAAAAAAAAGAATCAAATGCCAAAAAGACCCATTTTAGAAGGGCCCCATGTGCCATTGATGTCACAGTGATTACAATGAATAAAAGGGTGATTCACCAACATGACACATGAGGTGATTTCTGCCACTCTCACTTGCCACACATAACTGAGCTCTTTACAAACCAAGTTCCCATGTCACACTGTCAGTCACATGCTGTACTTCCAAGACCAAAACCAATACACAAACTAGTCTATGACATCCAGAAAAAACTAATTGATAGTAACAATCTGTCATGTTGCTAATAGTATGTAACAACAAAACCCAATCAAAGTAATTTATGACTGAAGTAATCTGCAAGATTATGTCTGAAAGACTTTTCAAACATGAAATATACACAAGTGCCTGAAGATTCAATGGACCTTCCATTGGTGGCTTTTTAATTCAGCTCTGTTTGTTACACAATTATTATATCCTTATGCAGGAAGAAGAATTTTTTAAAAAATCTTGCAACTATTGGCAGCTGCTTTTACCAAGCAATGAAAATTGCTGGAGAAATCATATATACACATACATGTAAAATTAGGGAAACAAGTTGCTTTATTGCCCCGATTTAAAATAAGCTCAATCAGTAAAAAAGAAAAATGCTATAATATACAGCTTGATGAGCAGCTGAAGACTGAAATATACTCAGACACAGTTTTAGAATTCAGGATATATCTTACTCAGTGGTATTTGAATGAGATGGAGGATGTTTCTTCTCTTAATTTGTCTAAGCCACTGAATAAGCAAGTGGGATTTATGCGAGTAATATAACACAAAACAGGCAGACTGTCTGTAACAAATTTCTCAAATATGATCCTGGGGCTTTCAAAGTAGAAAAAAAGAAAGCTCTTTTCCTATTTAATTCTTATCTATAACATTATGTCATTTAAAAATCCTAATTATGAAAAATCTTGATTAAAAGGAGAATTTTTGCAAATCACCAATAAAATATAGCTTATGCAAGATGCATTGTTAGCAATCACATGCTAACAAGAAAACAAATGTATCCAGTCTACCATAAGGCAAAAGTAAAATACGGATTAACAAAATTAGAAAGATTACATAGGCATTTTACCAACATCCCATAGGTCTAGGCAAAAAAGAATTTGAAAAGTATGGAAACAGTCTTACTCTTGACGGTCGCTGTCCTGGTGCAGTTGTAAAGAATAGCCAGCTCCCCAAACACTTTGCCGGGACCCATGGTGCACAGCTTCACACCTTCTTTGGTGACCTCCACCTTCCCATCTGAAAAGGAGAGGGGACACAGGCGTTCTCAATCTTTCTCATACTTCATTTGGTGCATTTTTAAATGTAAGATGACAAGTGCAGGTCCCACTTTTAAGAATGTAAAGCAGTTATCAATGAAATAGAGGTTGTCACTAAGATACAATGCAAGAAATGCAATAAAATATGTAAGTTAAGATAGTCACATCTTTTTTTTTGAGAGATTTTTGCAATAGGCATGTATGCTTGCCAGAGAGAGAGAGCTCTTTACAAACCAAGTTCCCATGTCACACTGTCAGTCACATGCTGTACTTCCAAGAAAGACCAAAACCAATACACAAACTAGTCTATGACATCCAGAAAAAACTAATTGATAGTAACAATCTGTCATGTTGCTAATAGTATGTAACAACAAAACCCAATCAAAGTAATTTATGACTGAAGTAATCTGCAAGATTATGTCTGAAAGACTTTTCAAACATGAAATATACACAAGTGCCTGAAGATTCAATGGACCTTCCATTGGTGGCTTTTTAATTCAGCTCTGTTTGTTACACAATTATTATATCCTTATGCAGGAAGAAGAATTTTTTAAAAAATCTTGCAACTATTGGCAGCTGCTTTTACCAAGCAATGAAAATTGCTGGAGAAATCATATATACACATACATGTAAAATTAGGGAAACAAGTTGCTTTATTGCCCCGATTTAAAATAAGCTCAATCAGTAAAAAAGAAAAATGCTATAATATACAGCTTGATGAGCAGCTGAAGACTGAAATATACTCAGACACAGTTTTAGAATTCAGGATATATCTTACTCAGTGGTATTTGAATGAGATGGAGGATGTTTCTTCTCTTAATTTGTCTAAGCCACTGAATAAGCAAGTGGGATTTATGCGAGTAATATAACACAAAACAGGCAGACTGTCTGTAACAAATTTCTCAAATATGATCCTGGGGCTTTCAAAGTAGAAAAAAAGAAAGCTCTTTTCCTATTTAATTCTTATCTATAACATTATGTCATTTAAAAATCCTAATTATGAAAAATCTTGATTAAAAGGAGAATTTTTGCAAATCACCAATAAAATATAGCTTATGCAAGATGCATTGTTAGCAATCACATGCTAACAAGAAAACAAATGTATCCAGTCTACCATAAGGCAAAAGTAAAATACGGATTAACAAAATTAGAAAGATTACATAGGCATTTTACCAACATCCCATAGGTCTAGGCAAAAAAGAATTTGAAAAGTATGGAAACAGTCTTACTCTTGACGGTCGCTGTCCTGGTGCAGTTGTAAAGAATAGCCAGCTCCCCAAACACTTTGCCGGGACCCATGGTGCACAGCTTCACACCTTCTTTGGTGACCTCCACCTTCCCATCTGAAAAGGAGAGGGGACACAGGCGTTCTCAATCTTTCTCATACTTCATTTGGTGCATTTTTAAATGTAAGATGACAAGTGCAGGTCCCACTTTTAAGAATGTAAAGCAGTTATCAATGAAATAGAGGTTGTCACTAAGATACAATGCAAGAAATGCAATAAAATATGTAAGTTAAGATAGTCACATCTTTTTTTTTGAGAGATTTTTGCAATAGGCATGTATGCTTGCCAGAGAGAGAGAGAGAGAGAGAAAGTGAAAATCACCTCCCCCCGGCGGGGGGGCATGAGTGCACATTCCTCATGACAAAAACCTGAAAAAAAAAAAAAGTTTTAATTTTGATTCACAAAAACCTAAAAAAAAAAAAAAAAGTTTTAATTTTGATTATTTTGTTAATGATTCATGAACCATTGTTCTATGCTGGAAACCATTTCTTCTAAACGGTATTGATGGAGAAAGAATTTTGCAGTAATTAGGATAAAACTGCACACGAAGTCTACTCATTACTACTGAATTCTCATGTATGCCACCCGGGCTCCACCTTGGAAGTGAACAAATCAACAATTCAAAGGTTTGGGAATACTTGCTTGCACAGGTATAGCCACTCAACTTCCGCAGCTTTGCCGTTCACTTCTGAACGGCAGTTAAGGAACTTCTCCTCCTGATCAATACATCAAAACTAGTCTAGTAAATCCATCTTTTTCATAAGCTTCAGATGTCCCCCATGGCATTTCTCCTCTTTTACTTCAGTGCCAACCTTGTTCTGCTAGAAATTATGTCTGCTGTTCACGAATAAGAGACAAGCCAGAATACAATATAGAGGGTTAAGAAATGTGTACCTCATCTAAAATTAGACCAGGAGGTGAGTTCTGTTTCTCCTATCTGTTCCTCATGGGACTTAGGACCCTGAGAAAGTGACTTAACTTCTTGATGCTTCAGTTTCTTCACTATTAAAATATAGAAAAGGCCCTATCTCACTGAGCAGTAGTAAGTTAAGTGAGATATAGTAGGTAAAATGTTTAACACACTGCCTGGCACATAGCAAATGCTCAGTTAGCACTTGCTCTTATTACTGATATTCTCATTGTTTTTTTTTTATTTTTATTTACATGGAGGTATGATTTATCAGATTACACTGAAGCGCAATATTTTATCATCTACTACAGAAACCAATCAAGGTCTATTTTTAGGATAAGAGGTCATTTCTTTTTTAATGGAGAAAGAATTGTTTCTTCAGATTCTCTGTGTGGAGTTGACGAGAGAACTCTCCAGTTTAAATTAACATCTCACTCAAAGAAGAAAACAGAAGCTCAAGGAATCACACTGACTTCTTGTAGAATGAAACATCTTTGTACTCTTTTCCATTTGCCTATGCCTGCCTAAACTTTGATCTAATGTTGCTTCTGCATCTACACAACATTACTGTGTTGTGGTGGGGTCTCTCCAGAGTAGCACAGTGCAACTTTCTTTCTAAAGCGTACACAGTTTCGTTCATCAAAAGTTCTAGAAGCATGTATGTATGTATGCATATATGTGTTTGTATGTATGTGTGCACATGTGTGTATACACACGAATATGTGTATATAGTATATACATGTACATATATGTGTATGCATATATGCATTTAAGAGCACCAATAGGAATGTTTGCACACCAGAAGAGAGAGGAAGACAAAGCACCCCTCAATGGAGCGTCATCATGCTGTCATCTTCCTTCCTCCATTTCTCACCCTGTCAGGACCCTGGGCATGATGCACACAGTGTGCTTTTCAAGCTGCTGGGCTGAGATTCGAACTCCCATAGGGCACAGGAGATCTGCCTTCCGATGCATAGTGCTTAACCACGGGACCACCGGGACAGTTGTAGCCTCAATTATATAAATAAAACTAATGAACAATGCCTAAAGAACTTTCATAAATGAATAATTTTGAATCATCTTTTCTATGTCTTTGGGTTTGACGGTTAAAATGTTCAGTGGCACGAGGCCCATGGGAGTAAGATCTAAGTAGGCTAAGAATCCTGATGGAGAGATTAGGAGCTATGCTTTCTCAATCAGTAATCAGACTAAAAAAAAGACAAGGAGGGGGACCAGCAGTTAGCCTAATGGCTATGTCGCTGGACTCCCATGTAGTCAACCACGATTCGAGTACTGGACCTGGTGACTTAAACTTGCATTGGGGATGTGTGTATGCATGCCCAAGATCCCAACTAGAGAAGAAGAGACTGCAGCATGGCCATCCCCCCCAAGGGGGTGATTTCTCACTTTCTGTCTCTGTCTTGTACATGCGCACTTTAGCAAAAACCTCCCACAAAAAAAAAAAAAAAAAGATAAGGAGGAACATTGGGACTGTTGTCTCAGCTCAGTGGATTCTTAAAAAAAATCTGTGGACTATGACATCAGAACTAATTTATAAAGTTCAGATATTCCCTAACCCCATGAGACATCAATATCCTTCCAGTACCATGGCCACCATACTTAGACCTACTGCCAGTTCCTTCCCTTAAATACTCAAATGACATTGATTTGTTTTAATTTACGGACAATGAGTCATGTGTTTCCTGTTCCCATGAGTCCTCTAGGAGGCTCGCACTGAGAACTGTATGTAATTCTGCAATTTGAAATGTGTGTATAAACTCACTTCTGCTTTCAACTTATTTTCCTGATCTTATTTTGTGCTTGCCTAACTTTTCATTTCAAATTTTTTGAAAAGGTGTGTATAATGTATTTATTATTAAATAAATTATTCATACACACACACACACACACACACACACACACACACACCCTGTGTATGTTCTAGGAACAAAAGGTTGTATTTCATATATAAGAATTAACTAAAAAAAAATAATAATGAAGTAGCCTGTATTTGAGCAATAGCAATTTGAATGTAAAACATCTTCTTCAGGTTAAATAAAATGTTGCCGATTCAATGTATTCACAGTGTCAAGAAAGTAAAGGATTTGATAAATGATAGAAGGCAATGCTCCACAAGGCACTGTATTTTTTTTTTTCCTTTAAATGAACCGAAAGACCTAAATGGTACACAGAAGCAGTGTTGATAACTTGTTACTCTGCATCATAATTTAATCATCTATCTTCCCTCATAACTATTGTGCGGACAGGAAATGGGTAATTCAGGAAGGCAGGGCAGATTGAGTGCTGAAAAGCAAGTTAGATACACACAAGTGAGAATTTTTACAAAAACAGTTAGAAGTATCCCTATTTTCTGACAACCCAGACAAATGAGTTATTGACGTGAAATGTGAAATAGATGAAGATCATTTACTTGACTTTAGACCAGCCCTGGAGCAAAATCAGAAGCGATTATACGTGGTTATTCTGGAGGGGTTGGGAGTGGAGGGCTGTGGTACAAGTTAGAAATTAGAAAGGCTGAATATACAGCATGTTTTTACCAAAAGCTTACAACAAATTTAGGAATAGCTCTGGCTAGAGGTAATTTTATAAAACTGTAATCTGTTACTAACTTTAGGAATATGTTTTGATGGATGTATCATACATCAGTACATCAGGTCATCATTGATTAATGTAGTTTCTATTTCTTTTTTCTGAGAGTTTCTTCTATTTTTTTTTTTTTTTGGCTATAGGGCGTGTGTGCTGGCTGGAGAGACAGCGAGACAGAAAGCGATAAATCACCCTCCAGAGGGTATGGCTATGCCTCTATCCCTTCCTCTGCATTCTCTTCTTGGGATCTTGGGCACATATGCACACATGTCCGGTGTAAATTGCAAGCCATCGGGTCCAGGACTTGACCTACAGTTGACAACGTGGGAATCCAGCAACCTAACCTTTACACCATCTGCTGATCACATGGTTTCAGTATCTTTTTTTTAAAATAAGTGATCAGTTAGCATTTTTTCATGTTTTAATATTGTAATTTTATTATCAAATATGTCATATTTCAAAGAATAGAATTTTTTAAAGAATAACAAAAATTCACCTTCAGTCTGTTTTAGTTTAGTTCTAGAATTTTTTGCTATTATCATCCTTGGGTTTGTTAGAGCTATTTAGCACTGTTTTTTGAGAGAATTAATAACACAAAATATAGTTAATCTACATAGCTTACTTCTTTTTTACTAAAATTGTTATTTGGGGACTAGCAGATGGTGTAATGGCTACGTGCTGAACATGCATGTAGTCGACCACGGTTTGAGTCCTGGACCCAGTGGCTTAAACTCATGCCAGGTGCATGTGCAGGTGTGCCCAAGATTCCGAGAGGAAAATGGCAAAGAAGGGATTGCAGCATGGCCTTCCCCCGGG